TATCTAATATTTTTTAAATTTATTTTTCGTAGAGATGAGGTCTTGCTGTGCTGTCCAAGGTGGTCTTGAACTCCTAGGCTCAAGCAATCCTCCCACCTTGGTCACCCAAAGTGCTGCGGTTACAGGCACGTTACAGCCAACGAACCCGGCCCAACATGCTCTTTTTATCCTTCCATACAAGCTCCATCCACCAAACACCAAAGTCTAATTTTTATGAAATATGAATGGTAGCATAAATTTCTTCCAACATTCTTACTAATCACTACTTTTCTCATATTCTATCACTTTACATAGTTGCACAAGCATTAGTAAGCTGTGTAACAAGTCAGGATACAAGGAGCTTAAAAGTCAGATGAAGATTCAGTGGGTTAATCACAGGGTTAACAATGTCCCCACCAACAGGACCATCAGGTAAAAATACTTCCACTTGAAGGAGAATCGTCACTGGAAATCAATAGTCAGCTGCCACCCAAATCCCATGTCTTTGATGGAAAAGGCAGTTGTCCTGGGCTTGACTTTCAGTTAAACAGAGGCTCACCATGTCTTAAGCGACAAGTCAACTTATACAGCTTGACCTAAGCCTTTCAATCTAAAAACCATTACCTCTGTCTAACTGCGTGTTAAAGTTTACCTCTAACTTTGCTCATGGAAAAAGTAAGTTCTCAGATTTATGCCAAATAAACTGGGTAAGATGACAAAACAATAAGAAAAATAAAGGTTTATTAATCACTGGAAAAAAAATACTCTCCAGTCCCTGTTTTATCTGCACTTTTTAATTTTAGAAATTACCTACTTCTGCCAAACCGAATCATTGATCCTGCAAACACTTTTACAAATCTAGTCACTGGGACTGCCACATGTTCCAAACAGTATTAATATTTACTTGATGAATCAAAGAAAAATAACCTAATTCTTGTAAAAAATTTTACTAATTAGTAAGGTAAGCAATGGGTATTCAACCCTAGCACCTAGCAAGGAAGGCATTTTATGCATGTGGAGGTGGGCAGGTGTGTGGGAGGACAGAGGCTCAAAGCCAGCCCTTCTCAGGACCACAGCATGGGGTGGGGGGACACCTGCAGCACGCAAGAAGCCTAAGAAGCAGGTTGTGAAGGGCCAAGACCACATACTCAAGTGTTTATGTGCACAGTGCAGACAGGCAGTAGGAAAGGAACTGAGAGAGTAGGGTAAAAAGTTTCTGTGGACTTAAATAGCTTCAGACAATATGGGATTTCAAGTGGTCTCTAAAGGGTAGGAAAGATCTAGAAGAGAAGATCCTGCTGGAAAGGAGAACCATGAAGCCAAAGCAGAGATGGCAGAGATCCCCCAAGCAACAGGATCTGATTCTGCAAAAAGAAGGGCCATCAGCTAGCGACAGCTGCAGGCCCCTTGGTGTTCCTGTTTCTGGCCATGGCGATCACATATACTTTACTTCATTAATATTCCCTTTCTTTTTTTTTTGAGATGGAGTTTTCCTCTTGTCGCCCAGGCTGGAGTGCAATGGTGCGATCTTCACTCACTGCAACCTCCACCTCCCAGGTTCAAGCGATTATCTTGCCTCAGCCTCCCAAGTAGCTGGAATTATAGGCGCCCGCCACCACGCCTGGCTAATTTTTGTATTTTTAGTAGAGATGGGGTTTTGCCATGTTGGCCAGGCTGGTCTCCAACACCTGACCTCAGGTGATCCACCTGCCTTGGACCCCCAACGTGCTGGGATTATAGGCATGAGCCACCGTGCCTGGCCTACTTCATCAATATCCTGATGGCTGGGAACTATTATTTTGATTTTTTTAGTTAGTTTGTTTGTTTTGAGATGGAGTCTCGCTCTGTCACCCAGGCTAGAGTGCAGTGACGCGATCTTGGCTCACTGCAACCTCCTCCTCCCAGTTTCAAGCGATTCTTCTGCCTCAGCCTCCCGAGCAGCTGGGATTACAGGCATGCACCACCATGCCTGGCTAATTTTTGTATTTTTCAGTAGAGACGGGGTTTCACCATATTGGCCAGGCTGGTCTCGAACTCCTGACCTCGTGATCTGCCCGCCTCAGCCTCCCAAAGTGCTGGGATTACAGGCGTGAGCCACTGCGCCCAGCCTATTCTTTTGATTTTTAAAAATTCATGTTTACTTCATGTCTCTCTTCTTTGCTGTTGTTGTAGCAAATGCTCTTCGGTCATCCTCAGGCAACTACATGCAACCTGCAAATCTTTTCTTGACACAACTTATTTTCACAGAATATGTAGATGCCTTTAGGATCGGACCAGTAAAAGCTCAAGATCAACATGTGCCTACTTGAAAAATGTACACGAGCATCACCACTATCCATGCTTATATTTTAGTAAATTGTCATTTCAAATATATTTGGCAGAAATGTACACCAAGTTCTATTATTTTAATAGTTAACTTATATTGCTTAATTATTTAAGCGCAGTAAATCACCCCTCAGCATGCGTTTTGCTGCTGCCATTTCCTAACCAACTTGATATTACTTTTCCATATGAAATAAAACACTTTTCCCGATCTAATTTGTTCCCTCTGCCTCTAATAATACAGTAAGTCTGCCCTTATTCTGCCTAAGAAAACAGAGAGAGAAGGAATCTGTGGCACTGCTAAGACCTTTCAGTCATCCAGCTAATTAGACAGTTAATAACATCACTGAGACAATTTAACTAGAAAGTACAGAGTACACAGTCTTACCTGATGAGAAAGTGGGAGTCTATAAGAAAACAAATAATTGTACCCAGACTTCACTGGGGCCCATCGCAATTCCTGTGATGAGAATCAAAGCTCAAATTCAAGCTCCTAAATCTCTAGGAAAACTTCCCCCCAAACAGAAAATAATATTTGCTCATCTCCTTAGCCCACAAAATGCTAGTGAGTTCTTTGCCTTTCCTAGAGTATTTGCATCTGGTATCACCAGAGTAGTTAAAAGCAAAGGGGACACAGTAGTTTTCTCAAAGTTTAAACTGTCTGATTCTGCAATTCCTTAAACATTCAAGTATCCTGTTCCCTTGGGATAAGATGATACTCAACTAACTGTATCTTGTTTCTTTGGTTTGTTTCTTAAGCAATTTTATCTCAGTCATACAGAGAATTTTTCATTCTAGGTTGCAAACTCAAAAAAGTTGTTACTCTAATTAATACCAGTAAGAACACATACTTCATGTTCGGAGAAATATGAGATAACCTTTAGCTTCCTCAGACAACACTACAGGAAAATCTTGTCAACATGGAGTATAATTTATAATCATTTGATTTTGCTTTTCATTTGTTGCCAAATCACAGGCAAAAGCCATCATTCAGAGATTCCCATTTATTTGTCCGTTCCTGTGCAGTTTAGTCATGTAATGAAGTATGCAAAGCATGATATTTTTTGGCATGACCTCAACCCATTTGCCAGTTACTTTGGCAGCAACACCACATGAATGGTCAATTTCATTCCCATGGGCATTCCTTTTCTGCAGGACAGAGCTAAACAATAATCATTTTGGGGCCCATGTATCCCTAACAAGTTAGAAAGAGTGAACATTTGTGAAAATTCTCACCTCTGTTGTAAGCTGGAGTCTCTTAAATTTGGTGGGGGAAAAAAACTTCAAGGATCATAATTTAACAATTGCTATTAACATGGAAGTTTCTAAAGACAATGAAGTATGCACAGAGCTATATACAGTAAGTTATGTTCTGTGGGGTGGGATTAGAAAGAAGGTGTGGGGAGGCTTTTCATGTCAATTATTTCAATTTTCCCTCTCATTTATCTTTTTGTACATGGATATAACACTTTTGGAATCAAACAACAAAGAATCAGTGAAGCTTAAAACAATATAAGGCAGCTCGATTCACAAAAGACAGGGCTTAAATGGTAACAGCATCAGGTAGAGAAGCATCCAACTAAGAGCATCATAGGAGAGAAGAAAGAAGTGCCAGGATTAGGTCCCAGGAGAGCAAGGAAAGTAACCAGAACCTCCAAATGGACCAAGGTGACTCGCTGCAAGGCATTTAACACCACTGGGCTTCCTGGAGGAAGAATGTCCTTCTCACTCCTCAGCAGCCTCACAGCTTCTTGTTAGTCTCTCAACCACAGGCCACAGCCCGAAACAGCAGCACACAGGAGGAGCTGTGCTGAGTCCTCCACATTTCTTCCAAGGAATAGCACCCACATTACACTAGAGAGATAAACTTCAGGACATTCCTGGCTAACCTTGAACCCTTTGCTGGGAGTCCACACACAGTGCACGGCCTCTGAAGGCAGGCTCCCAAAGTGCCATCCTAAAACAATGCATGACAAAATCTCCCACTGCTCCCCAGCAAAGCCCATCATTAAGATTCTAAGCTACTTGGCCAAAAAATCTAAATAAAAACAAGTCTCAAAAGACACAAAGCCACTTGTGCCCACTAAATCAGCCCGGACAGAGTATAGCACTTTTATTAAAGACACACACACACACACACACACACACACACACACACACACACACACACTTTTGCATACTTATAATTAATATGCAAAACTAATACCATTAAAAATTATCAACTCATGAAGGATGCTTGGAAGAATATAAAATAACTTTTCTTTCTTAAATAACATCTTATTTTCATCTTTTAAAAATCATAGTTAAGCCGGGCACGGTAGCTCGTGCCGGTAATCCTAGCACTTTGAGAGGCCAAGGCAGATAGATGACTTAAGGCCAGTAGTTCGGGACGAGCCTGGCCACCATGGCAAAACCCTGTCTCTACTAAAAATACAAAAATTAGCCATGCATGGTGGCACATGCCTGTAATCCCAGTTACTTGAGAGGCTGAGGCAGGAGAATTGCTTGAACCCAGGAGGCGGAGGTTGCAGTGAGCCGAGATGGCACCACTGCACTCAAGCCTAGGTGACAGAGCAAGACTGTGTCTTAAAAAAAAAAAATCATAATTAACTAACCAAATAATAAATCAATACATAGAAAAATACTGTTTGTTAACATCAAACACATGGTTCTATGGATAGAAACATAACGTTACTTACCTGAAAGTCATCGTAAGGGAAGAGCAGCATCTCCCGTAAACAGTCGTTCAGGATCTGAGTCTTCTTCTGGACGATGACATTTTCATAGTCGAGTGGCTCAATTAGCTTTGGCTTTGCCTGGAAGGTGAAAAGATAAGCAAGACATTCTCATAAACAAATGCCATTTCTTAAGATAAAGAACTTAATATGCTCTACTCTATGTTTTGTATTTTCTACAATTAGAGTATGCTAGTTTTGCTATCAGAAAGAAACAGAAATAAGAGTTGTTTCCAAAGGGACAAAAAAATGCTGGATGGTGTCCTGCTACACAGAGTGATGCCTGTTCAGTTATTTAAACACAAAGGAAGCTCTGCATTCTGGTGGAGCTTCCAATCATTTCTTGGGTCATCCCTGACTAGATATGTCCCCTTCCAAGCCTTAGAGTCTGCCAGAGCCGCCCTGATTAGGTGTCCAGCCACGGCCTGGCAGTCAAGGTCAGATGCCCAGAATGGCTCCAGCCACAATAGCATCCCTTCTTGGCCCAGGGCCTAAATGTATGCACAGGACTCATTATTTCAGACAAGGCTCCAAGACACCTTTCTCTGAGTCTCAAAATATCCCTCCCTATCCCCAGATACCTATACTTAATACGTAATACCCAAAGGTAGAAAGATAATGAGCTGAGCCCAAACCAGGCAAGCAGCTGGGTCAGAGCCAGGGGGGCAGGTACTACTTAAACCGGGGCTCATGGGCAAATCCTAGGGGATGGGGACGTCCATTCCTAGCATGCACTGAGCATGAGAAAGAGGTAACGAGTAACTAGGGAAGAAGAGAATATGGCTTTTCTAGCTATTTCCAAAGTTAGATTTCTTGGTTAAAATCCCTTTATCTATCGCCAGTCACTGCCACCTTGTTTATGGCTCACTTTCCACATACGAGGCATTGACTGGGCTAGGTCAGGGATAAAGATACATATTCAACTAACTATATTATAGGATGCCAAATGCTAAAATAGGCATATAGAAGATGTTATCAGAAGTAACTAAGTCCAGGGCAAGCGCAGTGTCTCACGCCTGTAATCCCAACACTTTGAGAGGCCGAGATGGGTGGATCACCTGAGGTTAGGAGTTAGAGACCAGCCTGGCCAACATGGTGAAACCCTTTCACTACAAAAAGTATAAAAATTAGCCATGCGTGGTGGCACATGCTTGTAATTCCAGCTACTAGGGAGGCCAAGGCACAAGAATTGCTTGAACTGGGGAGGCGGAGGTTGCTGTGAGCTGAGATCACGCCACTGCACTCCAGCCTGGGTGACAGAGTAAGACTCCATCTCAAAAAAAAAAAAAGTAACTAAGTCCATTATATCAACAGTTACTAGAAGATTATTTTTGAAACTATAATCACCTGATATACACAATCTCAATAAATGCTTCATGTATTAAAAACGACAATTTGTATAGAAGAAGTATATTAAAGATATTTGGTATGTGGCATCTAAATTGGCAATTGTGACTGAGGCTTGCTATTTGTTTCCAAAACCTGTCTCCTTTCCAATACAGGTGAACCACATTTCCCAGCCTCCTCATGGTTTGGTGTGCCCACGTGACTGTCTTCTAACCAATTGTATTCGAGTAGAAAAGATGTGGCCACTGCCTCATCTGGGCCCACAAAAGGCTTCCATGTGGCCCCTCCCCCTTCCCTCTGCAGCCACGCACACAGGATCCAACACTGAACTGGGTGGCCTGAGGAAAGGATGGAGCCTAAGATGGAAAGAGTCTGGGTCCTGAATCCCCTTACAGAAGACTGCCTGCTCAAACAGGCACTGAAATGCCCCAGGAGCAAGAACTGAAACACCTACTGTGTTCAGCTGCTGAGATTCTGGAGTTGTCTGAAGTAGCAGTCAACTTGCTTTGCCTGTTATACAGATACATGCTCATACTTAACTCCAATTACTTGATTTAACGAGACTCTACAAAGATGTTTTGACATGCTAAGAAAAAAAGCAATGCCCAAACGAGTATGCAATTATTATAATTAAGTAAAATACGTGTTATGTGGACAGAGACTAAAACTATGCAAAGCCCAAAAAATTAAAGCTATATAGTAAAATGTTGGTAATGGTAAACTGTTTTTACATTCAAAAAAGACAAAAAAAACTTTATACAAATTATTTTTAAATAAGAATTGCCCAGAAAATATTTTTCAAACTATTTTAATTAAAAAAAAAGATTCACTCTTTTGTCACACTGCACAGAGTAACCAGTCAATAAATGCTTGTTGGCAAAATGAATGGATGTCATGATTAATAACATTTTCCCTAGGAACCGTAACCATATTCCTAATAAAACCCAAATATGCACATAACTTTCTAAAATTCCATTACAAAGAGGTCAGATGGACCAACACTGCAGACTGGGTAGACACCATGTTCTCCCTGGCTTACATGGTGGCTACCCCATAACCACAGGCCAGGGGGACTCTTTCGTGACAGCCCCAGCTGCCTGCCCAGGCACAGGCACAGGCACAGGCTGGGCAGGGCTGAATCCTCAGCTGGGTACAGCCCCCTTTGCACAGGGCCCTTGGCTCCACTCTCCCCAGGTAAGGCCCATGATTCTTCAGACTGTCGGAAGGCAGAGGTGCATTGTGAGTCCTGGACAGGGAGGGGCGTGGAGGGACACTGCTGAGAATGGGCTGTTCCCAGGTGCCAATGCTATTAGATTTGGGATTTTGTTTGACTTTGTTCCTACAGCAGGGCATGCCCTCCAAGAAGCTGGACTGGCATCCCTGTGGGCAGCCATCTAAACAGCCCTGCTGCCACCGCTTCAGCAGCTTCCCCCCAGTGGGTGGCTCCCTGCCCACCAGCTCCAGCCCACAGCACCTCAGCAACCTTAGCCACCAGCCACCATCCCTGGGCCACAACCACACTCTCCAGCGAGGCCTGAATCTCTGCCTTGGGTAGGGGTGACAGGCTCTTCCCAGTTTGTTCCTTCCTTGGGGATCTCTGTTCCCGCATTTACTCTTCTTGTATCCTTACAGCAGGAGTCGGAAACTCTTTGTGTAAAGGACTTTGCCAGCCTTACAGTTTCTGTCACAACTGGTGAACTCTGCCATTGCAGCACAAAAGCAGCCACAGACAATAAGTACACACATGGGCATGGCAGTATTACAATAAAACTTTATTTATAAAAACAGGCAGCAGCCAGATTTTGCCCAAGGGCACAGCCTGATTTAGAGTTAACTTTACCCCCTAATAGAGTTAATCCCCTTTCACCAATTTAGTAATTCTTTATATTAATTTTCCATGTTCAATTACTGATGTGTTTCCTGTCTCTGGACATATAAGATACATACATGTTTACAACTCTTAACGTATTTAATGATTTTTTTCGCACCTATCTGAATAAACTTGGGTTGCTTAAAATGTTTGATAATAAAAATATTCATGGGTCAGTTTCATGTATTTAGGGCACCAAATAATACTTTAATTAGATGAATTTCTGTTTCCCCCCAAGGTGTATCTTGGAGGTATCTAATGAAAGGATGCAACGTTGTGGCTACTATCTTGCTTTTGTGTGACAAAGTGTAACTTTCAAGGTGTTTTCACTGATCACAATTACCACTCAACAACTGAGACTGGAAACTGAGGATCCCAAGTTGAGCTAATTGCTACAAGTGTCCCACCAAGTACCCAGCAGGACTGGACTGGGACAGGACGCAGTCTTCTGTTAAACAGAACTCTTTCTTCTCCTATACTAGGCTACCCTTTGAACAATGTGTGCTTAGCAATACTCAACCATAGTAAATGTGTGAAGGGGAGTTTATAAGCCAACATTTCTGTTAAAGACTGGTCATGCAGTACCATGACCAGGAAAACTCATGGTACTGACTGAACAATAAGAGAAATCTCATGAAGGATTAACATGTATCAGGGACTGCGAAAATTTTCAACTTGTACAAATCCTAACTCAGGTCACTTAATGAAAGAACTCCTAGTGACCTCATAGGGCAGAGGTCTTTAGCAGCTGCTGGAAGCACTTCGGGACACATGACTGATTCCAGGACACATGACTCACTCCCTAGCATGGGAGTGGTCACATGCTGCCTGAGGTAAGAACAAGGCAAAAAGACCAGGCACAATGCCTCCCTTCTACAGGTGTCCTTTGATGGGGAAAAGAAAGAAACCATCAGAGGAGAAAGGCTGGAGAATGGAAACTGGTGAGGGAGAGAGGCAAAGGGAACAGAAGGAGATGCAGGGGAGGAAACGGAAAAGAGAGGCAGGGATGGAGGCACCCTGGGGAGGAAACCAAAGACAGAAATGGCAGAAGAAAGGGACTTAGGAGACTTGGAGGTGGATCTGTGGGAAGTCACACCACTGCATCCACTAAATTGTGGGTTAAGAGGATAATCGCCTATTTTCAACTCTTTTTAAACTATGATTCACTGGTGGCAGCTGTTCACTGTTCTTCAGCCCTGCTAAGCTTTTCCAGGTGCTGGTGGGGCATGGAGGCGGGGACAGCCCACAAGCGTAAGGAACTGATTGGCCTGCGACATGATTAGTGACAAGAACGTCACACTAACGGCAAAATGATGTAGGCTAATTACCAGACTGCCGGTTCCTGCTATTATTTGTAAGAATGAGGCTTGGCACAGATCTGGCACACAGCCTTGGTTTTAAAGCTATCACAACATGCTCAAGTTCAATTCTTCCCCTGGTGACAGACTTCCAAGGGAGAAGTTCTTAATTTTCTATCTTCAAAAGAAAACCAGAATTACCCAAATTGACCATGGTTGTTGGTGGAGCTGCTCTGGAGCCATCAGCACCATCGTGTTTTGAAACCCTGAGAAGTCATCAGTTTGAACTGTGAATATTTCAGGATGCTGTTTCTCCCTAAGCATGGTGGGGCCTGGCTGACTCCCAAGCCCACGACATTCAGAGCATACACACTGGTGACTGCTGCTTTTATAGTGTATAAAATTCTAACTCGGTCTATACACAAGTCCTTCAGCTTTCCGCGTCATGTGGAGGCGCAAGTCCTTATCTATGAACATTCATTCCTCAGGCTTCCTGTGAAATCAGAAAGGGAGAGGGCGGTAGTACTTTCAGTCCACAAATAGTCCACAACAGTGGTTCTGAAAGT